TGGCCACTACTGACTAGGGGCCTGGAGCACACACCCAGCTGTGACTCCATGCCTGGTGATGCCTCTTAAAATCTCCACACCCCACCCCCTGGTTTAGAACCATTCGAGGGGGACAGGAAAAAACAAAACAAAACAAAACTGTACTTTAACCTTGTCACAATGCTTGTCCAATACATACTGGAGGAGGAAGCACCTTGTGACATAGAATCTAATTGCCTGTGTGCTTTCCCAAGGAATTCTGCGTAGTTTTATTTGATGTGAAAAATTAGAAAAGCTGAAGAAGTTTTTCCCTTTCTAATTTAGTACAGAGAACGGAATTTTTCAGCATTTGTAAATCGGACCTCACCCTCAGCATAAGACATCCGAAATACTGCTTCAATTGGTCTGAGAGGTCAGTATTGTAACCTCAAAGTACCATGTCTCCAGTATCTAGTTTGAAGAGAAGACTGTACTCATATCCTTTGTTAAATGGAGGCAGTTTTTGGTACAGTTTAAACCAAAGTTTAAAACGTAAACTTATGGGTCCTCAAATATTTTTTTTTTTTTTTTTTTTTTTTTTTTTTTTTTTTTTTTTTTTTTTTTTTTTTTTTTTTTTTTTTTTTGTTTTTCGAGACAGGGTTTCTCTGTAGCTTTGGAGCCTGTCCTGGCACGAGCTCTTGTAGACCAGGCTGGCCTCGAACTCACAGAGATCCGCCTGCCTCTGCCTCCCGAGTGCTGGGATTAAAGTCGTGCGCCACCACCGCCCTGGGTCCTCAAATATACGTTTACATTTATTTAAATCCGAATACCGAAAAGGCAATAGTAAGAGCCAACGAGCAATGCATACTATGAGATGAAAGTATGAGTTAAATCATATTTTCCAGGCTAAAAGAAAACTTCACTGCATCTAAATTATTCCTATTTTGTATTAAGAATTCCTGTATTAGTCTTTTTTGGAGGGGGCACTGGGCCTGCTTCTTTGCCAAAAATATCTATCTTAAGTTGCTCTTGCTTGGTTCTTTTCACAAAAATTGTTTCTAATTTAGAAACTTAACCAAAGAAAAGAGACACACGGATGATTTCAAGGGTCCCCACTCTAGCGAATCCCACCTTCCCAGTCGGAATTCTGTTATGCGATCATTTTTGAACGACATTATTACAAGTATAAACACATTACCTAAGTTTATATCTAACATAATACTTAGCAAGGAACAACTTTTGTATATGGGATGTGTGTGTATGGCTAACAATAAGTCCAAATCTGACATTCAATTATTTTCTATTTTCAAAACACAAGAAGAGACTTGCAATGACCTAATGCAACTATTTGCAGCGTTTCAAATTTCCCATTTCAAGTTCACCCAAGACAACGAGTTTGCAACAGTGGAGAGAAACGGAAAATCTTCATAGTGACTGCAAGGCTGGACAGGGAGAAATGTGCAGACAGGCAAAGCCCTGCGGGAGGGAAACGGAAGTAGGTGGCCCGTAGGTGACAGAGTGGTGGAGACGCAGGGACATTTAACAGTGCACAGCGTGGACAGGGAAGGGTGGAGATGGTCGTGGGATGAACGGGATAAGGGAACCGGTGGTCAGATGGTGAGAGAAGTGGATGGAGTTGAAGGCTGAAAGGCAGAAGGCAACTGACTTGACCTCGGATGCTGGCGTTACCAAAGGCCTGCAGAGCTTCATCCGGCTGCAAGGCTGTGCGTGAAGAAGCTGGCCCCACGGTCCTTTCCCTCAGCCTACGCACAGGGCACAGCGGTGGTTCCGGGGCCTTTGTGGCCGCCACCTTCGGGGGCAGTCAGCTCCGGATGCTAACTAGAGAGAAGCAAGGTTCTCCTGGGTGAACCGCGACCCGGCCGAGAACCCCAAAGCTCGCACGCCCAAACGAAGAAGCTCACCCGCGAGCCAGAAAGATCCGGAATGTGCACCCTGAGAAGAGCAGGTCCGACCCCGACCTGAAGTGAGTTTAGGGCGGCCCAGCTACAGCGGCCCAGTATTGTCATGGCAACCGAGCTCAGTAGGGGACGCGCAGGCGCGCAGCCGGCCGGAGTCGTGGAGACCGCGCACGCCAGGGTTGCTAAAGGCCGTCCTTCCTGTGGTGACTGTTGTACAACGCGCACCATTGGCCTCCAGGATCTACGAACTACACCATTGGCTCTGGAGGTAGCGGTAACTATAGCAACCGTGTCCAGCGTCTATATAACTACAGACAGGGTTCGAATTCTCGAATTGTTTCCCCGCAAAGCTCAACCTGTTCTCCTTATATTTTTCTATAAGTGACTCCTGTGATTCCAGCATAAGACGGTGAGGCAGAATTGAGTTTGGAGCCAACTTGTGTTACATAGGAAATTCCAGTGTAGCCTGGAATAGAGTGAAATCTTGCCTTAAAAACACAAAACGAAACAACCAAAACCAAAACCAACCAACCAAACAAACAAAAAACCCACCTATTAAGGCGGGATACTATGCGTGTAAGCAGTTATGAATTTAGGAAGAGATTCGTCATAACAACTAGAGTCCAAAGGTAAATTTCAACACTTTGGGACCCAGCTAGTTATTGTGAAAATGCAGAACTGGGCTTGACTAGAATTACATTGAAGGCTGGAACCTTTAAGGAAACCTAAGCACTGAAAGTTGTTTGGCTTCTTACTTATGCAATGCAAAATAAATCTTTTTAAAGATTTGTTTACTTATGTATATGTGTCTTTGCTTTGATGTGTTTATGTAAACCACATGCATGCCAGAGCCCAAGGAGGTCAAAAGACCAGATCTGGAACTGGAGTTACAGGCGATGTGAGAACCAATCTTGGGTCCTCTTCAAGAGCAGCAAATGCTAGTAACCACAGAACCCCAAAGTCAACATTTTTAATGATACATTTTTAGCACAGACTCAACTTAAATCTTCATGTTCCTTGTGAGATTCCGGGTACTTGTCAAAACTGAATTTTGCTTGCTTTTTGGAGAGCAACAAAACACCACTTACATTTCTTGGTTTCACCATAGCTGTCAATCTTTTCTGGATCGCCTGGATACCACCATCTGGATAGCATCCCCGATTTTCTGTGTTACAACTCTCCCCTCTCTGATCTAAGATGCTCACCTCTACCACGACCCAGCCCACTCCCGTTCAGCTAAGGAAAGGTCCCTTGGTCCTCCAATCTAGATCAAATGCCTTCTTGTTTGCCTTTGTTGACTCATGTCCCCTTCTGCAAGCATTTCCACCTGCTGAAGCACACGGGCACAAATGCCCGGAACGTAGGTCGACCTAGGTAAACACTGTTTTAAGCACTCAGAGCAAATAATAAATTGAAGGAAGAAACAGTGATGAGTCCATGCAATTAGCTAGTGGTTATTTCGGAGCTTTAATAAAACAATCTGAAGGGGCTCCCGCATGACTAATACCTTGAAGACACCTAGCTGTGGCGGCTGTAGCGGCGTATGTCCCAGTACACAGGGAAGAGTCAGCACCCCAAGGCTACGGGCGTGGAGAGGAAAAATCAATCTTTTACAACAGTGTACCAGTGTTGAAACCTGTTGTTTGGGAAGTTTTGCCAGCTGGACCTAAAGTTCATCTCAACTGTGTGCTCCTGGAGACTGCATTCACTCCTGGCTGCAGTGTTAGCTTGGGCTGGAGGTCAAGCTTCCCGATTCAATTATTTCTACTCATCTTGCCGCTGCTGGTTACAGCCTAAGGGAAGCCCAATGAGCCGCCTCCTCAGCAGGACTACCCTTTCCAACTCCACGACCTGAGTCGTACTATCAGCCAGGTTTCTGCAGTGCTATGATCATACCCGAAGCCTGGACAACCATTTTCACCACCAGCCCCTTAAATCAAATACTTTCGTAGAACACTACCTACTTCTATATAGTTAATAATGGCATCCCCCCCCCCCACACACACACAAATACCCATTCAGGACTGTCCTCTGGATCATTTACTGGACTTTTCTGCACTAGGCACATCCTTATTCCAAACCGGGAGAGTGAGAACTTCTCATGGACTCAAAGATCCATGATCTCAGCCCAATCAGCTGAGAAAACCAGTAACTGCATCAACTTACTGAGTGTGAAGTGCCAGGCATGGAACTAGTGTTCGCTCCAGCCTCACCCCTACGCTGTAGACAGGTAACCTGTGCTCGCTCCAGCCTCACCCTATGCTGTAGACAGGTAACCTGTGCTCGCTCCAGCCTCACCCCTACGCTGTAGACAGGTAACCTGTGCTCGCTCCAGCCTCACCCCTACGCTGTACATAGTAACCTGTGCTCGCTCCAGCCTCACCCCTACGCTGTAGATACATAACCTGAGATTAAGTCAAGGGCCCACATTTATGAAGCGTTGGCTAACTGAGCCCCACACTCCTTACCACACAACACTGTAACACAGCCCTCAGGGCAGAAGCATACCTGCCAGGCCCCAAGTGGAAGGCTCGTTATTTACCTGAAGAACAGATCTAAAATATCTGGAAAGTGTTACCAATTATGGAATAAATCTAGGACAAGAGGCAAAAAGTAAATGTAGGAATGTGTGTGACCTTCAGTCTGTTTGTAGGGAGGTGTCTGTAGTATACCTATTTTAGTATAAGTGTATTTTTTTTAATTTTTTAATTTTTATTTTTAAAAAAAGAGCCAGGGGGCTGGAGAGATGGCTCAGTGGTTTAGAGCACTGTCTGCTCTTCCAGAGGTCCTGAGTTCAATTCCCAGCAACCACATGGTGGCTTACAACCATCTGTAATGAGATCTGGCGCCCTCCTCTGGCATGTGGGCATACATGGAGGCAGAATATTGTATACATAATAAATAAATAAATCTTAAAAAAAAAAAAAAGAGCCAGGTTTGATTCCCCACACCCACATCGAGGCTCACAACCTCTGCCCCCTTCTTCTAGCCTCCAAAAGTACTACACACCCGCGGCACACAGACATATATACAGGGAGAAACGCTCAAACACATAAAATAAAAACAACTAAATCTTAAAAAAACAGAACCAACCCCAAACCCCACCCTTTCCATGTGACAATCTGTGGGCAAATACTTTATTGCACTTAAACTTTTGTACATCCAGTGCCCGAATGAGACGAGTTTATTCATCTTTAAACCCTCACAGCTCTCACAGGCCCTGGCACACGTAGGCACTTGATGAATATGCGATCTTCAGAGCATGACCACGCATCCGCGATCCTTCTATTGTACAGCAGGCCGACGTCCAGCTTCAGGCTCCTACGTCTGTTCTGCAGACACGCAAGCCCATAGTCAGCTTCGTAAAAACTGAAGAACAGTTTCTGCTCAGTCTCCAGGCAGTTCGCTCAGAAACACAACCCCAGCACTGATTTGCCTCGCTGTCTTTATCCTTAGCTTCCCGTCAGCTCTAAGAACCCTGGTTTTTGATGCTAGGCGAGCATGTCCTTCAGTTCTGGTCACATATAAAAGCTGTGTGTCGTGACCTGAGGTCTTCCACTATCTTCTCTTCTATCACCATGCCTTTTGCTATTTCATCCTGTGACAGCAGTAACTTGGTTTCCGAGTCTCTGGTTACAATAACCACACAGGACTGTATTGACTCGAGGATATTGGCCACCACCACCTGATGCTGATAAACTTCCAAAGCATTCCGAGCGCGACTGATTATAATCTCGGGATCAGTTTCCAGCTTAAAGGAAACTATAAACGCTTTGGGAGCCCAATCTTTAACCAGAGGAGAAAGCATTTTCGGCACCATCTTCATTGTTATCTGTATCGGAAAGAGCAGGCAAAGGTTAGTAAGTAAACCACTGGTCAGTTCCTACCAGGAATTTATGCCATCAGGGACTGACTTCTGCCTAAGTTAAAAGGGATTTCCCACCGTGTAACTTTCTGGAGCATACGCCTAAATTCAAGGCCTCACATCTACTCTGGGATAAAGTATGTTTTCAGAACCTGTACTGTCCCGTCATTCTCATTGCAACTCCTCAAACACTTCCTTTGACTGTACTATTGTTACTACTTTTGAAGACAGGGTCTCACTATGCAGCCCTGGCTGACCTAGAACTTGGTCAATGGACCAGGCTTGGCTGCAAAGTCAGAGTGCTGGGATTAAAGGTGTGAGTCACCATGCCCGGTACTCACTGAAATATTATTAAGTCTTTGAGAATCTTATAGATTTTATTTTGATCATATTCATCTCATTTCTTTTCAAGCAAATCTGAAGGTAAACAAATGTAATCCGCTCATGGAAATATTACTTTGGCAGAAGTCCAATAATACCGGGCTTTAAGCCTCTTCACCTGGAGTATGTCATAAGCTGGTGGTTCTCAGTGACAATTTTTTATTTGTTAACTAAAAGTATAAATACAGTAACCAGAACAGAGCACTGAAGACACAACTGACTTGGTCTTCACTTGATTAAAGTTCCTGCCCTGTTTCCTAAGACCTTAGACAACCCAAGGGGAAATACTGCGTCATCTGTGTATCTTCAAGTTAAATAAAAACTGTGGGAGAAACTGGAGCTCCCACGCTTTTTAAAGAGTATGAGGTCTGTCAGCAAGTGTGACAGAAATCACATACAGGGTCTCACTTTGGCATTCATCACCAGTATCAGCAGGGATGCCATTCCCCTGCAGAGAGCGAGCAGTGCAAGCAACTGCTAGTGTCCTGTGTATTTCTCTTCGTCTCTAGGTACCACAATAGTCCTTGACACATAGGAGGTCCTCCAAGATGTATAACTAAACTATCCCAAAGGTGCCCTTCAAATACTTATCTATAAACTACTTGTATCATCCAACAAATGCCTATGAGTTCCCTCAGGTTCCCAGGCACCAAGTCATCTTAAATTCTCGGCCACGACACTATCCTCCCATGCCTTTTCCTTAAACTACAAGAGCCCTATCTATCCACTCTACTTCTACCTCATCTTCCAAAATGCCATTCTTTGCAAACTAAAACTTTTACTTTTATTAATTTATCTCGAGACTGGGTCTCACTGTATAGCCCTGGCTGGCCTGGAACTCACTACGTGGACTTGGCTGCCCTTGAAATCACGGAGATCATCTGTGTCTGGAGGGCTGCAATTAAAGGAATGTGCCATTATGCCCTAAAAAAAAAATCTGTTATCTTTTGCTTCCACCTTAGTGCCTCCACAAGATGAAGTCTAAATATCTTAGAAACGAATATAAAGTTGTTCCCCGCCCCGCCCCCCCAAGGAAAGGCGAGCTGCCTTTTCAGTCTTACCAAAGCACTTCATTTCACAGGCCATTACTCAACGGCAAACTCCAACGCGTAACTCCACTAGGAATGACCTTTCCCACTTTATTACACCCCCACCTTCTGATGAGTCATCTCCGGGGAAAACCGTGACTCCCCCAGCTCACTACCCCGAGATCTGACTGCACTTTGTACATACCTCCACTACAGAATTTTATCATTCTCATCTGTGATTATGGCTGGTGTCCAGGCCCTCGCTAGATTGTGAGGTCCTTGAGGGAGGGCAGTGCCTAGCTCATACAGAATGCAGAAAGGCCATCTCCAGATCAAGAGGAAAGGAACCCAAGCTTGGTTATAGGGGGTCAGATCTCTGGAAGAGAGCCCATCACCTGCAGTGGGCCACCGGACGAGTGGATCTTGTGTTCAGGCATTTCGGAGACAGGAATATAGAAATCAGACACTGCTGCAGCCAAGTAAAACATCGCAGAAGAGCCTGTAAAAAAAAAACCAGAGGGTCTAAGAAATCGGGGAAGGGCAGGGGACCTGCTCCTTTTCAACTTCGGTTCCCTGGATGGCTGCAGGGTAAGTGGGAAGCATGAGGAAAGAGAGGCTGGGAGAATGGCTGTACCGCCAAGAAACCTCTGGATTCCTTACAGCACTCACCTAGTGGGTTGAGAGCTAGGGCCGCAGCCTGCAGCAGATGCAGGTAGTCCGCCAAAGTGGTGAACTCCACGGCCAGGAAGGTGCCGGCAGCAGCTGCCTCTTGGTAGCTCTGCAATGCTGCAGCAAAGCCAGGGAGTGCACCCTCTTCGGCCTCCAGACTCAGTTTCCCCGACTGGGCCGGGCCACAAGGCCGCAGGGCCGACAGCCAGGCCTGGGGAGGGAAGCGGTGGGCGTAGGGGAAGGCCGAGCGCGCTCGGTACAAGAACAGGACCCCGTAACCCGCAGCCAGGAAAACCTCGACCGAAGCTGCCCCGCGTCGCCCGCTGCTGAAGTTGTCCAGAAAGCGCACGGCTCGCGCTTCCAGGGGGACCTTGGTGCCTCCTGATGTGACCAACACCACCCGCCGGCCCTGCGCGCCCAGCCTGGCTGCAAAGCGAGCCATAACCTCGGCCCAGCGCGCAGCACCCTCCGGCCGCGGCATGTCTGCAACCAGGTCCATTTCCGCCATCTGCAAGCGGGAGTCACTTGCACGCAGGAACCACGGCGTCCCGGCACGCGGGCCACGGCGCCACGCCCCCTTCCGGATACCTGGGCTAACGCGCAACCGCAAATAATGACTGTGGGCGTTCCCCGCCTTCTGGGCATCAGTAAGTCCTGACCTCGCCAAGGCTTGAGAACGCCTGACTGTTCTGTCAGAGCCCGTCGAAATGCGTTGAGTGGAAGCGTCTTTCTCGAAAATCCAGAAAAATTATACTTCCTGTGGGTTTCCTAATCTGGAAAACTAAGTGAATTTGTTTTGTTTTGTTTTCTTTTTTTTTTTTTTTACCTTTACCGGCCACCGTACATCCCTCCCCACGCTTGGGTTCCGTCGCAATCAAATTCTAGACATTTAATCTTTGGGACTTAAGAGTTTGCGCTCTCCCCTCCCGGTGTGCCGCTATTAGTCCCGCCCCGCTCCGCCCCCTTGCCCTTGAAATCCGAACAACCCCGGGGCCCGCGGTTGTCACGTGACGCCTGTGTGGTCTAGCCCGGCAACCGTCCTAGAGACGTCTCCGCCGGCTGCACCATGAACGTGATCTACCCGCTGGCGGTGCCCAAGGGGCGCCGGCTCTGCTGTGAGGTGTGCGAAGCCCCGGCCGAGCGGATGTGTACGGCCTGTACGGTCACTTATTACTGGTAGGCCCTGGAACTGTGGTGCCTGGCGCCTTTGCTCCCTCCCCGTCTCCCAACCCAGGGTCTGGCCTGGTGCGTCTGTGTCCGTGGCCCTTTCAGCCTTCGACCCCTCACGGGCCCGAGCAGGCTTGAAGACGCGTCTCTAAGACTCCTGTAGCCTCGTCTGCCTCCTCTCCCACATCAGGTTTTTCTCCTGATGTTTCCCAGGGGTCCTACTGATGCTGTGTTGGGCGCCATTCTAGGTGCTGAACGTAGTGGGCCAGTTCTGTAGACCCATTCCCTCCAAGCTCAAACATTATAGGTTGGAAGACAGCGAAGAAAACAAATGATAATTTCAGGGAGAAATGTCAGAAGTCAACGGAAATGTGAGAAGTTGGGCAGACAGCTTCCCTGACAGTAGATGATTGGTCTGAAAATAAGGAGCTAAAGAGCCAGCATTCTTGCCCTGGGAAGGCACAGATTGGCCCCTAATTAGGATAGACTTGTGTCCTTGAGGACTCTAAAGAAGACTAATCGGCCAGTGCACAGCCAAGAGAGTTGAGTGTCGTCCGGAGCTAGTAACTCCAGAGATCGATCCCTTTGTATGTATTCACATTTATGCTCCCCTTCATCCTTTTTTATGACAGGGTTTAAGTAGTCGAGTTGGTCTCAAACTCACTACGTAAGCTAAGGACCGGACTTTTGATCCCCCTGTCCACATCCCTCATGTAAGCTGCGGCAGTCTGCTCACAAACCCCACTCAAATGCTCTGTATCTGGACCTCCCGATTGAAAGAGTCAGAGTTTGCGCTGGCAGCACCACCCAGAAAGCCAGCATTTCAAAACTGCCACTTTTCCCCTGCTACTGCTGAATCAGGAAAGCCTCTCTTAAAGGAGCTGTGGCACACTGCCAGCAAACAGCAAGAAGCTGTGTTAAACTCTGTATTTTTGTGTCTAGAAGTAAGCTTTCTCAGGTTTTTAAGTGGATTTTAGTTTGCCACATTGGTGCCAATCTGTTGGGGGAGGCTGCTTGTTGGTTTTCTGGCCAACCAGACTCCTGAAATAATCACCCAGAAACTGTATTAATTAAATCACTGTTTGGCCCATTAGCTCTAACTTCTTATTAGCTAACTCTTACATATTAATTTAACCTTTTTCTATTAATCTGTATATTGCCACTTGGCTGTGGCTTACCAGCTAAAGTTCACAGCATTTATCTCCAGTGGCTCCATGGCATCTCCCTGACTCCACTTTCCTCCTCCCATGCTATAGGCCAAGCCAGTTCTTTATTCATTAACTAATAAAAGCAACACATAGACAGAAGGACCTCCCACAGACAGATCGAAGGGGGAGACAACTCAGAAACCACAGTAGACAGATTGAGGGGAGAGAGACAATTTAGAAACTGTAGTAGACAGACCTAAGGGAGAGAGACACAATTCAGAAACCGCAGTAGACAGACCTAAGGGAGAAAGACAATTCAGAAACTGTAGTAGACAGACCTAAGGGAGAGAGACAATTCAGAAACTGTAGTAGACAGACCTAAAGGAGAGACACAGTTCAGAAACTATAGTAGACAGATCGAAGGGAGAGACACAGTTCAGAAACTGCAGTAGACAGATGGAAGGAAGAGAGACAATTCAGAAACCATAGTAGACAGACCGGAGGCAGAGACACAATTCAGAAACTGCAGTCTGAAGCTTTACTATCCCACTTTCCGTAGTGAACAAGCCAACTAGACAGAAGATCCTTGAGGAAAAGTAAGACTTGAGCAACACTAGACCCAGCCCACACCTGTAGACAACCCAAATAACAGACTATGCATCCTCTCCCGTGCATACAAAGGTTCTTGAGGGTAGATCATATGTTAGGTCATAAACCAAATCTCAGTAAATGTGGAAGGAATAAAATCATGGAAGGTAGGTTCAGTTATGGTGCAATGAAATTAATGACCAGCGACAAAAAGGAATTTAGTAAGTTTATAATCAGGTTGAAAATAACACACTCTTTAAAATCCAGTGGGTCAAAGGGATCATCAAGGAGACTGAAAAATGCTTCAAGGTAAATGAAAAAAAGCATAACATACTCAAAATTATGGGATACAGAAAAAAATCATGTATATAAGGAATGAATGAATTAGTTACTGGTCCCTGTGATTTACAGTTGTTGATGTACAAGTAACTTAATATTCCACCTCCCCATCTTAACCTATGAAGAACAGGCAAAAAGTATATTCATCAACTTGTTCCTGCACAGCTCTGTGTTAGGAGGAGGAAATACTATTAAAGATTAGAGCAGATGTGAGTGAAATGGAGATTAGGGAGAACTATAGAAAGCATAAATAAACCTCACACAAAACTGACAAATATTTAGCTAGAATAGTCAGGAAAAGAAGAATTACTAAAATCATGATACCATTATTGCCAACCTTGGAAATAAAGGGAATTCTAAGAGAACACTCTGAACATCTAAATGTCAGGAAGTTAGGTAACCTGGATGAAACAGACACATTCCAAAAAGAACCCACACTGATGTAAGAAGAAACATGTCTGACTAACTCTAGAACAAGTGATGAAAAGCCCAAACCAGATGACTCCAGACTGGTGTCTTCTTTCAAACATTTCAAGGAAAATGAACACAGATTCTTTATTTTTACAAAAGAGGAATAAATAATTCCTAAGTCATTCTATAAGATCAATATTGTCCTGGTAATTAAACCAAATAAAAGTATCACAAGAAAATTACAGACCAATATCCCTAATGAATATGGAGGCAAAAGTTCTCAACAAAACTTCAGCAGACAAAACCCAGAAGCAAATGTGGGGGATTAACATCATGGGCAATTGATATTTATTCTAGGAATTCAGGATTGGTTGAACGCTCAAATATCAGTCAATATAAAACACTATACTAGCAGACAAAACACACAGATGATGTCTCGGTAGATGCAGAAAAAACATTGGGCAAAATCCAATATCATGATAAACACACTTAAACTTGGAAAAAAAAAGAGAAAATTCTGTTACTTGCTAAAAAGAAATAATAAAAGAAAATCCAGAGTAAAACAGAACTAACACCATACTTAATTGCTGAACACTGAGAACTTGCCCATGATGACACAAATGAGACATTCTATGTCGACTTAGATTTCTGTCCTGCCCACTCTTGCAGTCATTCAGTCCCAAAGAAACACACAGAGGCTTACATTAATTATAAACTGGTTGGCCTATTAGCTCAGGCTTCTTATTAGCTCTTACATTCTACATTAACCCATAATTCTTGTCTGTGTTAGCCATGTGGCTTGGTATCAGCAAGGCATTCTCATCTTGTTTCCTCTGCATCTGGGTGGCAACTGCAGACTGAGCCTTTCCTCTTCCCAGAATCCTGTTCTGGTCGCCCTGCCTATAATTCCTGCCTGGCTACTGGCCAATCAGTGTTTTATTAAAACACAAGTAACAAATCTTTATAGGGTACAAGATCATTGTCCCATAGCAACTCTATTCAATGTTGTACGAGGGGCTCTAGTCAGAACTCAATTAGGCAAGACAATGAAGTAGAAGGCAGTAAAAGGCATCCAAGCTTGGACAGAGCAAGATAACCTGATTTACAGACGGCACGACCATGTTGCGATGGCTAATTGTATATGTCAGTCTGACTGAAGTAAAGGATGTCAAATGGTTGGTAACATCTTGCTTCTGGGTGTTTGTGTGAGAGAATGTGTTTGGCCTGGTATACTGAGTCAAGATCACCCTCACCAAAGTGAGTGGGTACTGACCATTCCACTGATGGCTTGGACCTAGCAGCATGACACAATGCAATTCGCTTGAGTTTGCTGGGCTTTCCATCTTCTTCTTCCCTTGGCTATAGGGTCGCTGGTCCTGAGGCCTTTGGGCCCTGGACTGGCACCAAGCAGACCTTCTTCCCCCCTGACCCAGCCTTTAGACTCAGTTGAGTTACAGCTGACTTTTCTGATTCTCCAGCTCAGATAATATTATGAGACTTAAAAAAAAAAATTCTTCGTGTGTGTGTGCAAGTGTGTGTGTGTGTGTGTGTGTAAAGCTATGTGCACATGAGCACAGGTGTCCTCAGAGAAAGAGGAGTAAGATTCCTCAGCAATTGTAGTTACAGGGGTTGTGAGACACCCAATGTGGGTGCTGGGACTCAAACTCATGTCCCCTGAGAGAGCAGTAAGTGTTATCAACTGCTGAACCATCTGTCTAGCATCCATCTAGTTACTCTGCTCAGTATCACATGAACAATTCCTATAGGAAATATTGGTTTGTCCTGGAGTATCCAGACAGGCTTATAATATAGAAACCATAAAGAATTTACAAAATTGCATTAAAACTAAGCAAAATTTATATTATATTAAATATATTAGAACTAAAACTTGTTGAACACAGCAAGATTATAAGATATGCAAAAGTAGTTACATTCTTATACACTAACAATGGATGATCTGAAAGTGAAATTAAGACTGTTACTTTATCCAAAACAGCATAAAATATTAGAGAAAAACAGTTAAAGAAGTACATGACTTATGTGCTGAAATATCATAAAAGATGATGAAACAGTGGTCTGTCCCAAAAGAAAAGCTGATGTAACTCCCTTTA